CTTTCTCTCTCTCTCTCTCCCTCCCACTTTCGTTCTCTCTCACTTCACTCTCAGTCTCTCTTTATTTCTCTCTGTTTCTCTATCTCTCTTTCTCTCTATGTACTCCCTCTCTCTCTCTCTTCTCCCTTTCTCTCTCTCTTCTCTCTCTCTCTATGTTCTCTCTCTCTGTCTCTCTCTCTCTCTCTCTCTCTGTCTCTCTCTCTCTGTCTCTCTCTGTTCTCTCTCTCTTCTCTCTCTCTCTGTCTCTCTCTTCTCTCTTTCTCTCTCTCTCTCTTCTCTCTCTTCTCTCTCTCTCTCTCTCTCTCTCTCTCTCTCTCTCTGTTCTCTCTCTCTCTCTCTTCTCTCTCTCTCTCTCTCTCTCTCTCTCTCTCTCTCTCTCTCTGTCTCTCTCTCTCTCTGTCTCTCTCTCTCTCTCTCTCTCTCTCTCTCTCTCTCTCTCTCTCTCTCTCTCTCTCTCTCTCTCTCTGTTCTCTCTCTCTCTCTCTCTCTCTCTCTCTCTCTCTCTGTTCTCTCTCTCTCTCTCTCTCTCTCTCTGTCTCTCTCTCTCTCTCTCTCTCTGTTCTCTCTCTCTCTCTCTCTCTCTCTCTCTCTCTCTCTCTCTCTCTGTCTCTCTCTCTCTCTCTCTCTCTCTCTCTCTCTATGTCTCTCTCTCTCTCTCTCTCTTCTCTCTCTCTCTCTCTCTCTGTCTCTCTCTCTCTCTCTCTCTCTCTTCTCTCTCTCTGCTCTCTCTCTCTCTCTCTCTCTCTCTGTTCTCTCTCTCTGTCTTTCTCTCTCTCTCTCTCTCTCTCTGTTCTCTCTCTCTCTGTCTCTCTCTCTCTCTCTCTCTCTCTCTCTCTCTCTCTCTGTTCTCTCTCTCTCTGTCTCTCTCTCTCTCTCTCTCTCTCTCTCTGTCTCTCTCTCTGTTCTCTCTCACTCTCTGTTCTCTCTCTCTTCTCTCTCTCTCTCTCTCTCTCTCTCTCTTCTCTCTCTGTTCTCTCTCTCTCTCTGTTCTCTCTCTCTCTCTCTCTCTCTCTCTCTCTGTTCTCTCTCTCTCTGTTCTCTCTCTCTCTCTCTCTCTCTCTCTCTCTCTCTCTCTCTGTCTCTCTCTCTCTCTCTCTCTCTGTTCTCTCTCTCTCTCTCTCTCTCTCTGTTCTCTCTCTCTCTCTGTTCTCTCTCTCTCTCTCTCTCTCTGTCTCTCTCTGTTCTCTCTCTCTCTCTCTGTTCTCTCTCTCTCTCTCTCTGTCTCTCTCTGTTCTCTCTCTGTCTCTCTCTCTCTCTCTCTCTCTCTCTCTCTCTCTCTCTCTCTCTTCTCTCTCTGTTCTCTCTGTTCTCTCTCTCTCTCTGTTCTCTCTGTTCTCTCTCTCTCTCTCTCTCTCTGTTCTCTCTGTTCTCTCTGTTCTCTCTCTCTCTCTCTCTCTCTCTCTCTCTCTCTCTCTCTCTGTCTCTCTCTGTCTCTCTCTTCTCTCTCTGTCTCTCTCTCTCTCTCTCTCTCTGTTCTCTCTGTTCTCTCTCTGTCTCTCTCTCTTCTCTCTGTTCTCTCTGTCTCTCTCTCTCTCTCTGTTCTCTCTGTTCTCTCTCTCGTGTTAACCTGTGCAGCCGGAGTGAGTTAGCGTCAGACGGGGGTAATGGCTTCCAGAAGGCTGAGCGGGCTGTGGGGTTCACCGGGCCGGGGGTGTCTGAGGAGGGGGTGTGGGAGCGGGGGGGTAGGCTGGGGGAGGGGAGGGGTGGGCCACCAGAACCAGAGGAACGCCAATTTTACGGTCAATTGGGGCGCGCATCTGGACTCCGAGCGCCGTCGAGCCGGACTTAGCGCTTCGCCGGCCCACGTCAGAAGCACGGCAGAGCACGTCGAGGTCAGGGGGCGCTCACGGGCGGGAAGAGATCATTACGAGATCGCTTACGAAAGAGTGAAAGATTGAAAGAAGAAGAAGAAACTCTGCAGTAACGCTTTATAATAACTACACTTTTAATAACCACAGAGCGGATCTATTCTGCAAAATCAACGTTTAGAACTTTTAGAGCGCTCGGTCATGTTTGGTCAAAAATGAGTTCATGTCGTTTTGTTTGTATTTGAGACTTCCTTTATCATATGAATAAATATCCTGAAAAAATAGCTACAGGTTAAGAAAAAAAATTGGGCATATGCCGGTGGAGGTGAAAACGGTTGGTCAGCAATACGGCGTCTTGAAAATGAACAATAGGAGGGTTTCAGTCACGTGATCAAGATGATGCGCGAATTTCAGGTGGAGGGCAGGAAGTGAAGACAAACACGACAAACACGGCTCTGGAGAACACAGATATGGAGAAGAGTTCTTATTGTCAGGATTTACAGCCAGTAGCGAGGCAAAAGTACGAGCAGTTAGTTGACAAATCTATCGGGCATGACCCCATCTTATTGAAAATGAGAGAATTTTCAACCGAAGTAAAAGATTTGCCGACAATCGAGGCAGAGGAGATCACGAACTATTTAGCTCTTCAGACATCGTTCTACACCAGACAACAGATGAAGGCAAAGTACAAAAGTTTGGAGGCATAGAACTTTTTTTGTCAGTGGATGGATCCTCAACCTTGGTGCAAAACGCCTAAATGATGATTATCGTTTGGTCTTCGCCGGGGTGAGTGTTTCTCTTATTTTATGTGTATAGATGTTATGGGAAAAACTGCAGTGTATCGCAGTAACCTCTATCTGAACTATTTAATGTCAACAAACGTCGTTAGCCGTTAGTCGTTAATGATTCGTTTATGTTTAGGTAAACCACAAAAAACAATTTAGCTTTGGAACAAACCTTTGACGAAGTGGTCACTGCAGACACGAGCATTAGCGAATTCTGCTCCTCCCGACCGAAAACAGCTTTTCCCATTTCTGACCTTTGTGGACGACTATATTCGGTACTCTAAAAAAATCGCTTTTCCTTCTCTCGGTTAGAACAGTTGGCACAGCCGTAAACTACACAACACATCGGCATTTTCCTCCAGTCAGTTCACTTCCTGCCCTCCATCTGATTTTGCGTGCTGACAAACGTAGCCCTGTGACGTCACGTGAAACCCACCTATTAAAGATTACTCAAACATGAACGAATATAATAAAATTTCGGCTGAGTAAATGCTGAGGGAGAAACAACTCTGCCCTACAAAGGCAAAAGAGAGTGTAAAACTGAGAAAAATGACTTTCAAGTTTCTGTTTTGTCAAGACAAAAGTACAATAGGTCTGGCTCCCAAAATTTGACAACAACGAAATATTGAGCTCAAAATGGACCTTTGACCCTTATTTGTCAGTTCCTGTACTCTGTCTTTAAATCATGTGCCAGAAATAAGGAGTCGTGCAAAGGCCAAAGACAGTAACAGTAACAGTAACAGTGTATGTCTTGTGATTTACTTAATAAATATATTTTATTTGAATATATATATTGATTGGCCAAAATACAGATATTTAGCCTTGCCTTAATGTGCATAAAGCTTTATTTGAACACTTTTTTGTAGTAAAACGTTATGGAAAGGTTGTGGATAAGTTTGTACTTTAAATTCAAATTCGATAGTTTGGTCGATGCCGATTATGGTCATTTTACAAAATCTTCAAGTGTAACAACAATAAAGCATATGTTGTGATGAGGAAACAACGTCATAACATATCTCGGAGAATAGTGTAATATGATACGTTCAATATCTGCATTCTTGTTTTAAAAATGATTGGACAATGAGGCTATTTTCTAGGGGTGTAACGATATCCAAGTTTCACAATACGATATTGTCACGATATGAACCTCACGATACGATATTTATTGCGATATCTTGGGAAAAGTCATGATATGGTGGAGAAACTCACGATTAGGGATGTAACAATATTCAAATCTCACGGTACGATATTTATTGTGATATTTTGTGGAGGCTAAACAGCTAAAACTGTTCATATGCTACTTTTTCCTCTTTAAATGCCCTGACAAGACTTAAGCCAAAGAACTAAGACTTAAAAGTGCTTAGAAGTGTTATTTCTTCATGTAGTCTGCACTGAAATGGAGCAAAGGATCATGGTCTATGTAGTTCCCTCTGTATTTTTATTTATTTATTTATTTTTTTGGCAATTGCTGCACCATAACTCTTAATTTAAGCAAAGAGACTTGTAATTCGATATATTGAGATGGTCCATATTCCTTGGTGAGGTGTTCTTATAATGGATATATGTATGGTGAAAATCAAGCAAATAATGGAACGATCACGTCAGCTTCTGCCTTTTATCTTTGCACGACTCCTTATTTCTGGCACATGATATAAAGACAGAGTACAGGAACTGACAAATAAGGGTCACAGGTCCATTTTGAGCTCAATATTTCGTTGTTGTCAAATTTTGGGGAGCCAGACCTATTGTACTTTTGTCTTGACGAAACAGAAACTTTGAAGTCATTTTTCTCAGTTTTACACTCTCTTTTGCCTTCATAGGGCAGAGTTGTTTCTCCCTCGGCATTTACTCAGCTGAAATGTTATTTGGAGTGATTCGTTCATGTTTGAGTAATCTTTAATTGCTCATTTTCAAGACGCCTATTGCCGATCAACCGTTTTTACCTCCACCAGCACACGCCCATTGTTCTGCACGTATTTCATTCTCCAATTTTATTTTCTTAACCTGTAGCTATAGATGAAATCTATATAGTACACAAAATAGCTCAATAGATCTTCTTTATTTAAGCCGATATATCGATTGGCCAAAATACAGATCATTTGTTGGGTCCAATCAGCTGCCTTAATGTGGATAAAGCTTTATTTGAACACTTTTTTGCAGTAAAACGTTATGGAGAGGTTGTGGATAAGTTTGTACTTTAAATTCAGTTTCGATAGTTTGGTCGATGCTGATTTTGGTCATTTTACCCAATCTCTAATCATAACAATCCAATAAAATATGTTGTCATGCAGAAACAACATAATGCCATAGATCAGAGGCCTTTTATAAGTAAAAAATCTTGGACAATGAGGCTATTTACGTTTGTTTTTTAGATTTTTGTCATATAAACATTTGGAGTGGTCCTCACCTCTGTGGCTACGGTCAGGGCGGGCATCAGGGGAGTCAGCATGTTGTACCTCAGCATTGTTACCATGACAAGACAGCGCAGCATCTCCAGGAGCCCGGCCTTTGGTCTAATGAAGAAAAACAACAAGGGACATTTTACAACATCCACTGCTGTGTAAATGTCAGAGCAAGAAGAAATCATGTGTTGAGCTGAATGAGATTACAGTGTATTTAACTATTTTGAAAACATGGAAGAAAGTTGGATATTTTCACCTATTTATTGACTACTGTGATGAGATGATTGTTGTGTGAACCAAAGACAAGCTCAGTTAATTAAAATAGTATTACTTAAGGGGTCATATTCTTACACTAACTCCTCTATTAATACACTTGAACCATGTTATAAGCGGTTTCCCACATCATTAGTTTACACTGAGTTGTACTTTGTGTATGTTGTCACATAGTAATATTAATAGCAATAGTAATAGTAATAGTTATAGTTATACGTAGTTATTGTAATAGTATAGTATTAGGTATAGTAGTGGGTAGTTATAGTTATAATATAGTGTTAGGTGTAGTAGTAGGTATTTACCGTTATAAAAAAAATATTAGGTATAGTAGTAGGTAGTAATAGTAATAGTACAGTATTAGTTAGTTATAGTAATAGTAAAGTATTAGGTATAGTAATAAATAGTTATAGTAATGTAGTATTAGGTATAGTAGTAGGTAGTTATAGTAATAGTATAGTATTAGAGGTACAGTAATAGGTAGTCATAATAATTATACAGTATTAGGTGTAGCAGTAGTTAATTATAGTAACAGTATAGTATTAGGTGTAGCAGCAGGTAGTTATAGTAATAGTGTAATATTAGGAAGAGTAGTGGGTAGATATGATATAGTATTAGGTATAGTAGTAGGTAGTAATAGTGTAGTAAGAGTATTATTAGGCATAGTAGTAGGTAATTATAGTAACAGTATAGTAGTAATAGTATAATATTAGGTATTGTAGTACGTATAGTTATAGTAATAGTATAGTATTTGGTATAGTAGTAGGTAGTTTTAATAATAGTGTAGTATTAGGTATAGCAGTAGGTAATTATAGTAATAGTATAGTAGTAGGTATAGTAGTAATAGTATAATATTAGGTATAGTAGTAGGTACTTTTAGTAATAAATATAGTTATAATTCTGTAATAATTATAGTAATAGTGTAGTATTAGGTATAGTAGTAGGTAGTTATAGTATTGTTATAGCTCTATAATAGTAATAGTAATAGTAATAGTGTAGTATTAGGTATAGTAGTAGGTAGGTATAGTAATAGTAATAGTGTAGTATTAGATATAGTAGTAGGTAGTTATAGTATAGTTGTAGTTATGTAATAGATATAGTAGAGTGCACAATAGTAATGCAGGTTGTTTTCTAAGTAAAAAGCAAATCAAAATCACATTTCCAGACACATTTTGGATAACTGAAGCACATTTGAACAGAAGGTCGTAAAGGTCATTTGGATGTACCTCTGGTCGATGATGAACCCCAGTGCGGTGAGTGTGAGGAGGATGTAGCAGGTCATGCCAAAGACGGTGATCGGAGACAGCAACTGTGGACACAACATCAGCCTTAGAACCGCACAAGATGATGATTTCAAATATAAGCTAGCTTGAATATAATTGTCAGGTTCTTGGTGCGCAGTCAAAGAGCAGTTACAAACCACAGGCCTGCTCCACTGTTTACTTGAAACTGTGATTTAAATATGTCAGACACTGGCACGTGCACTTTTTAACATTCTGCCTGTTATTTTACCCATGACAGCTAACTGGGTCACATGACTTTTGGTTTAGATAAGCCAAAATAACCACCACTATTAGCAACAAACAAATTGTACCTTTTTTTTTTTTTTTTTTTTGGCAAGATAGTAGCAGTGTTTCCAATTAAACATGGAGACTATGGTGGTCTCCCATAGTCTAAAATGAACCTAAACTATACAGTGGCACTGATGTTTATTTTATTGTGATTAATATAAAAGTTAATAAAGTGTTAATATATTAATTACAAGGAGTAAGTGGGTTTTACATTCCACAAATCGCATGAAAGAGAATTATAATATAAAAAGTCTATGTGCCACTAAAGTCTACGGGAAACACTAACTGGGTCACATGACTTTGGATTTGACCAGTTTTAGGCATTGCTGGTTTAGATAAGCCAAAATAACCACCACTATTAGCAACAAACACATTGTACCTTTTTGACAAAATAGTACTAATATTTCCCATTAAAAGAGGTGGCCCTCCATAGTCTAAAATTAACCATAGTCTAAAATGAACCTGAACTATACAATGGCATTGTTGCTTATTGTATTGTCATTAACATAAAAGTAAATATACTGTGAATATATTCATTACAAGGAATAAGTGAATTTTCCATTCCACAAACTGCATGAAAGAAATTTATAAAACAGAAAGTGTATATGCCACTAAAGTCTATGGAAAACACTAACTGGGTCACATGACTTTTGATTTTTACCACAGTTTAGGCATCGCTGGTTCAGATAAGACAAAATAACTGCCACTATTAGCAGCAAACAAATCTTCTTTTTTTTTTTTTTTGTGCAAGATAATAGCAATGTTTTCCATTAAAAGTGGAGACTGTGGTGTCCCTCCATAGTCTAAAATTAACCTGAATTATACAGTGGCATTGATGCTTATTGTATTGTCATTAATATAAAAGTAAATATACTGTGAATATAGTAATTACAAGGAATAAGTGAGTTTTACATTCTGCAAATTGAAAAAAAATTAGAATATAGAAAGTGTCTGTACCACTAAAGTCTATGGGAAACACTAACTGGGTCACATGACTTTTGATTTTATCACAGTTTTAGGCATTGCTGGTTTAGTTAAGCCAAAATAACTGCCTCTATTAGCAACAAACAAAACGTACTTTTTTTTTTTTTCCATTAAAAGTGGAGACTGTGGTGGCCCTCCATAGTCTAAAATTAACATGAACTATATAGTGGCATTGTTACTTTTTATATTGTCATTAATATAAAAGTAAATATACTGTTAAAAATATGAAATACAGGGAATAAGTGAGTTTTACATTCCGCAAATTGAAAGAGAATTATAATACAGAAAATGTATGTGCCACTAAAGTCTATGGGAAACACTAACTGGGTCACATGACTTTTGATTTTACCACAGTGTTAAGCATGGCCGGTTTAGATAAGCCAAAATAACTGCCGCTACTAATACTAGCAGTAAACTAATAATTTCAAATCAAATCAAAGATAGTAGCAATGTTTTCCTTTAAAAGAGGAGACTATTGTGGCCCCACATAATCCAATATTAACCTGAACTAATATACTATACTAATCCTGTTTTATCATGCATAAAAACTGTTAATCCTTTAGTTTCACATGGTCATTTCAGTATTTTTCATCTGGACGTGTTGGGTTTTTAGGAAAATTCTAATTATTCCTAAATGGATATCAGTCAGGCGTGATAATAATGTACAAAGTAATAACAAAACTAAAGGTGGGTTCAAGGTAAAAAATATAAGTTTAAATTTAAAGGTGCCCTATGTAACTTTTTGGTTGGGGTCTATCACCTGCTTGTTTCTATGTTCCACAATATGACACTGAACAGCTCTACTTTACATTTATTCAATTACAGGTGGTTTAACAGCTAAAAAATACTCAAAAACAGGGATTCTGACTGTGAATGAGGTCACCTCTCCATAAATCTGACCTGTAACTTGGTTTAGTTGGGTGTCTATGAAGATAGAAATGTTTAATATCATACTGTGAAACATTCCTGACAAAGCAATAACGTCTCCATGGAGAAAAGAATTTGATTATCTATATAAAAGTGATATAACTGTACCAGGAAGCCCACATACCACTACAGTTTATTAACCTCGATAATGGGCCAGATTCTGCTGTCTGCAGCTGGCGACAGGGGATCGCCTGAGGAAGTCATGGGACTGTCAGCCACAAATCATCTGTTTGTGGCTCTGCACAGACCCACAGCACAAGTATCAATGGCCTTTTATGGTCAACATGAACCAGTCTGTCAACAGGAAGGACAACACATATGTCTTCTGTCTGACAGCTCTCACTGGGGAGCCTCAACGCTCCAGGATTCCTTTTTTTCTTTCTTTTGCATAATTTAACATGACTTATGACACTTATGCAATTTGTCTTTCACTTTCTAACTGATTCTAACTGAATACTTGGATTGGCGTCTTGGCCGAAACAGTTGGCAGCAGTGGGGAGTGGGCTGGCAGGGCTACAAACTGCAGTGTTGTTTACTAACACAACCACAAAATGGAACATTCTCCATGGCAATAGATCAATTTTTGGCAAACTGTGAAAAATTGCAGCCAAAAGAACGATATTTCCATGGACATAAGATAGAGGAGGCCTAAGAATCAGGTTTGCGGAGATGCAAGCCCGCTCATACAGTAGTAAGGATGCATGCTGATTGACATTTTTCAGTGCAATAAAAACATCCAAAATGAAAAAAAACAAACAAACATACTCAGGACTGTCGCAATAACCACAAAAATGAATCACCGCGGTACTCAGAGGCCCACCGTGGTGCATGTTGGGCCACCGCGATCACCGTGACCAACGTGACCTGACCCAGAGTCCTGCACGGGTCCATTTTTGCAGACCCACAACCGCCCGGACTCGTTAACATTCCACCCGTTACTCGTCCGTGCCCATGATAACCCAGGACTAACCCAGGACTAACCTAGGACTCATTCCAGGACTGAACCAGGAGGACTAAACCAGAACGGAAGCAGGACTCACTGTCGAGACGGGCCTGGAGGTGCGCCCGTGTAGACTGTAGGGTGACCGCAGGCAAAAGGACCGGCACCAAACTCCATGCCTTACAGAGATGAGTGCAGCCGTCACCCGATCACGCTTTGCGGACACCCTACTGCGCATGCTCTGGGGTTCTCTCTCTCTTAAGTTCATGGGTACTCGACCTGGTGCAGGACTATAACTCAACCTGCCACAGTGAGTTGGAGAGATGGCAGTGGCACTTGTTCAAAAGCCAAATGTTTCTTTTCCTTCTGCACTGCAGGAGAAATTCCCTAACTGCAACAGCCCTAAACATACTTTTACTTCTGTCTATAGTTTGGCTAAAATATTACACAGTGCGATTTTAAAGCCCAAGATAAGGTCAGATGAATTGTCCGACTTAAAACTCACTGCTTTTGATCAATTCTTTAACTAGATGGGGAGCAAACAATGTAACCCAGTCTTAAGTACTGTCTTAGCAACACTAGAAAAAAAAAAAAAAAAGTCAAAATGTTTTTTAATGGATTGAGGAAGCAAATTTGGCGCTTACGTATCCAGTCTTATTATATCATGATGTATTCTGGATCTAAAGGTTATGTGAACTTCTCCCTGTTTCACAACCCAAGGGACCCACAGCCCGGAGCTATAGTCACATGACCCGGCGTGTCACAGGGAAACGTAGTCAGTTTGTAGTCCGTGCTAACGCTAACGACGCTAGGCCCAGGGGTCGGCTTTGTTAGCTCTGCTGTCAGCTAATCATTTGGAGCAGCGGCGTGTTGTTCTAGTGTCCCCTGGGTAAAGGCCGTTAGCTCATTATACAAGCCACTACTGCAGCCGCTAGTAAACAGGGCCAAAGAGTGTAGCGTGTGACCAATTGTGTAACGCAAATTGTAAGAATCATGTCCCATTTTCTGTACGGCAGTGATTTCGGTCGCCCAGCCAGTCTCTTCTACATTCCGTTCAAATCTAGAATTGGACCAGAGAGCGTGAAAATCCTCAGTCCAAACTTGAGATGTTCCAACCACACAGATCTTGATTAGTTGCATGTGTCTCTCAAATGGAGAAGACAACTCCTCGAACAAAATACATGACTTATTTTACCTGAGATAAATAAGTTTTGCTGTTTCTCGGTCCTTTAATATGTTGTTTTTTCCACTTTTTTCCACATAAGCACTGACAGCCCTGTCTGTTTTTTTCTCTCTGATTCTGGTCAGTCGCGCCTCTGAAATTGGGGATATAGCTCCAGATCCACTCATCTTAAGTTTAAAGTTTGGTCAAAGGGTATGGCTCTGGCTGGACAGGTAATGATTTTGGTAGCATGAATAATTTGTTAATATCTGGATGTAATTGTGGATTAGGGGCACATTTCTTCAATTGTGTAAGAAAGTCAAATATTAAGACGATCCAAATGTTTGTTAGAAAAAGTAAATGTAAAAAAACTGCAAATTCACTCTTTTTATATACATCCTGGATTTAAAAAAAAAATGTATTAATATATTTTAACATTTTATTAATTAATGTTAAGTGTTTCTATTTTTATTTCACCAAAATTTGAATTAAAGGTGCACTATGCAACTTTTCTGGTGGAGAGGGTGACCACCACAAAGCTGTGATTGCTCTGCCTGTACACAGTATGCATTATATCTCGGAATGGGACTTAAAAAAAAAATCTAATTAATTACAGGCTCATTAATGGGTTAATGTTCCACCCCTAATTATATCTAACAAAACATTTCTATATATCTGTTTATTCAACTACAGGTGTTTACAAGCCTGTTATTTGTGCAAGTTTG